GTTAAATTCAAAGGGAATTTCTACAAGACCGTTCATATAACGAGAACAGTCGCGTCTGAAACAAACGTGTCCAGCAATCCGGGAAAAAAAGAAAGCGAAACGGAGTGAATGGACCGGAAGGAGAATGTCTCTTCGCCTTCGTATTTTACAAGCTTAGGCGCTTCCACGCTACCTTTCAACACCTTTCAGGTTAACGTTGCCACATATACGTGAGGGTAAAACATTAGCTTTAACACCAACTGAGCCCCACAGCTCCTTTAGACCAATTCAAACGCCTCGTGCTAATCCAGATACAAAAGGAATGTGTTGCGCAAGCAAATCGAGTTGATAAGCGACTAGTCCCTTTAAAGGGTCTTACCTGAAACGGCGGTCCACTATCCTCTCTTGGTCTCAAATCCCTGCGATCGAGTATACTACGGGTGAGATGAGAAGCCGACGACTCCAGTCCATCCGTACCAATTGCAAGACCGTCGCTTTGGCGAACGGCCGCTCGAAGCCGTGAGGCGACGTTAGCAAATGACACCATTTGACGGCGTGTGCTGGAAAGAGAACCCACTCTTTTGAAAGAGCACAAACGTGAATAAGACAAGAGAAGAACCAGCTTACCTTGCTCGACTAGCCCCTGTTCCTGTCGGCGCATGGAAAACAGTAGTGGGTAGCTGGGGGATGTATGTATAACTTTCATTGCTTGACGAAGACAGAGCTCGCTCTCTCCTTCAAAAAATAATTATAGCCATCCTGTCAGAATGAAACTTCTGCACGTACATTGTTCATTTCGTACGGAATAGACCTTCGAAAGGAGAAGAATTTGAGCGCTTCTCACCTTGTGCTTCCCACACTCAACCCTGGCAAATTCCCTGCGTTTCGCGATGAGCACGGCTCTCCATCCTCGTCACTACTTGCATAGGCCGACTCCGGTAGAACCTAAAGTTATTACCCAGTAGAAAACATCAATTCGTAGAAGAATAAACGAGAGTAGTAGAACTCTCCAGGACAATGTGGGAAGAATCTGACTATGAGAGAAAGAAATGCTCTTCCGCACTTCAAAAATTGAACGTATGTTAATAATGGAACAAAGCTCATACATCCAGTCGACTCCTTCCCGTTGGTGCATCCTGTGTGCTTTGTAACAACTCCATCAGTGCACGTCCAGATCCCAATGGCTGAGCAGTACCTACTCCTAAGATGGAACAGAATCAAATTCTTAACAAAGTCTTCGAGGTTGAAGTTTTCCTCATAGTTCAGCAGAGCTTAGCCGACTTGCAAATTCTCCTTCAGAGCCTAATCGATCTGCGTTGGCAGGTTTTAGCACTAGCGTGGAACTAATTTACGATAGTCACAGATCAAAATCTCAAGATCACGCAAAATCGGTTTTTTCGAGGCTTTCGCGACGTGTGCTACTAATTCTGCACAACAGCAGTGGAACACTTGGCCATCAATGAGCAGCTCTCGAAAAAATCAATGTCGCGCTTGGATTTTTGATGTTCTGCATATTAGAAAAAATATTCACGTTCACGTGCTAAATCTGCACTAACCAAAACCCACCTAGTACCAAAAGACATTAGTCATAACCAGAAAGCACACCATGTCATACAAGGCGTTGTCCACCACATGCCGTCGATTGTCCTTGAAAGACCAGTGAAAGCCCTGCGAATGTCTCATTCGCAGCCGCACGTAGTTCATCACGAAGGCCATATCTGACAGCACAGCCCCAAGCTACAGAAGACTGAACATATCGACGTCTGTGTCTCCTGCTAATTAAAACAGTACAAAGCATTAGTTCAAAGATACACACCAAATCCAAACCCGTGCAGCCTGAACATCTGTGGAACTCTGTGCGGAACAGAGCTTCGCCCAAGACGACTCTGACGTACATTTTCGATTACATCCAGAGTCTCCGGATGTTTTTCAATCAATTCTTCCAAGAATTTTGTGATCTCCACTTTGATATCTGCCTCCAATACTACGAAATGAGCGAAAAATATGCTCGGCGTTTCAAATCTGATTATCCAGCAACCCGTCCGAAGCCTCAGGTGCGCCATAGTCAACAATCGACATAATTGACAAAAGAACGCGATCGCGATTCACAAAACAGCACATATTAATATCGAAGGGACACCGCTGAGTCCACCATTGCCGAAAATCGTTCCCTGCAAGCACAATTGACGTAGACTAATCGATAGCGAAACATCCCTTTCAGCGAATTGTCGACTCCCTATGGATACCACCTCACACATCAACCATACCTTTCCTGAAACACCTCCACTCCTCACTAAAATGACCTAACCTCTCTCATCAGGCGCTTTGCTGATAGACGCTGCTTTTGGTTGATCAGCTTCACCAAGAGAAACCACCACAGGATACCATCCTGATGTAGATGGAACGGCATCATCCGTGATTTTCTAAAACGGAAGATACTGAACAAGAGGAGAAAAGAGGAAACGCGCACTACCCCAATCAGCATGAAAGGCTGTCGTAAACCACACCCTCCACCCCCTCCAAAAAACGCTTCCGAGAACAGATACGCACAGTTATTTTCGGCTTCCTTCTTTTCGGTCCGATAGTACTGTAAGGATTTTCAACTTCGCGAATCCCAGTACTTGTCGATGGCTGGTCAATTTCTTCATAGTGATTTTCTTCCTTGTCTTCCATCTATAATAAGAGATAATAATCAAAGCCAAAAGAGGTGATCGCTGTTACTGAAATGAAATCAAATTACCGTGTGGCTCTCGAAACCGACATCAGTCGTTAACTCAACTGACATGGAAGAAGACTTGCCATTGATGCCTCAAATTAAAAAAAAATCGGATGAGGAAATTTGAAAACAAAAACAATACAAAGATGGTGGGGGAAATCGACGGATCGGTTCAACATCAAATACGTTGAGATAAATGATTAGATTGTAAATTAGCCACTTACTAGACACTCCTACATCCGTCAATGGACCAATCACTTCATCCTTTTTTGCTGCTCTTGCCTTGAGACCATCGGTGTGAAATTCTTCAGCACTGCTCATCTTCGAGGGGTACGATTTATGCGTACTCTGAACAAATCAATAGCCCGCCAATGAAAACAGGACTGGAAAGCCATTCACAAGAATTCGATACCTGTCTGGCTTGATCAAGGCTAGCCTGACTCAGCATACCCTTTTCAGTTGGTCGGCTTGAAGCTTCAAGAGATGAGTTCGCTCGCCGAACAGTTGAGTACAGAACGTCTGATTCGTGTTCTAAATAAATGGTAATAATTACCAGGCTATATAAAAGCAAATGAATACATATATTCAAGCTGTGGGTTTAGACACTGCCTTGTGAGAAAAATAATAGACTAAATTTTCAATTCACCTTTTTGTCGACCATCCGATGTCATCACAGGTTCGGACATTTTGCGAGCCATGGCCGACGAAAGTTCACGTTTAGTGGATGAATCTGTGCTATCGCCATTACTTTCTTCCCTGCAATACAGTAATACATCCATGAAAATTGGGGCCACCATCAACGCTCAAAAATAGTCGAACTCACAGCGAAATCTCTGTTTCGCTATCGTGATTCGGAGCCTCTTCCACGATGGCGATATCTTGCACTTCAATCACCTTATCCTTTGCGTCTTCATCGCTGTCCTCCTAAAAAACGTGGATAGCCTTTCAGTCACACAAGGGAGACTGAGAGCAGGGTGGAGACACCAGAACAAATTAGGACAGGTTCAAATCCGGTAGTGCGCAACTTTGAGCTGCTGTGTGAGTGCGTAGATTTCGGGTCTCTAGTTTCAGAAGAAAAGAAGCGTAAAACGTAGAGGGAGACGGTTAGATGAATGGGAAACTTAGATGGACTGAATGGCCGAAGCAGAGCGAAGTCGTCCCAGTGATTGTATTGGAAATGTTGAACAATCACATCGCAATGAGTAA